CATTATGCTACAGGTGATATTTGGTATTTAGCCAAACATTATGATTATTTAATAGCAAAGCATCTACATTAATAGCTTAATTTATTTGCACTTCTTGCCTTGCTACATCTTTGCTTTTATGACAGACTGGATATGTTTCAGATTTTAAAAAAAAATCTTATTAAATATCCTTTTTTAGAAACCGACTATTCATTATATAGTTTTACCTGTCAAGTAATGTCATTTTGAAGGCATTAAAGTTATTACTTTATTAATATTTTATCATAGCAAGTGAGAGTGAATAGCTGGTGATCTCAGCCAATGAGCTGGCCCTGCATGACAAGACTATGCTCTGGGAAGCTAATGGAAGCTCTGTTCAGGAGCTTCTGGCTCTCCTTGGGGCTGTGACCGACTTCTGGCCACAGTTAAATTATAAAACTGTTTGAAATAAGTTTAACTAATAATTCTAGGAGGGCGCAAAGACACTGCTGGTACACTAATCAATACAGCAGGCCTTAGTGGTTATGATACTTTGAATGTAGCTTTAAAGACATATGCATTACTTTGAGACAATTGTCTCATTCAATAGCTTTCACTTTGAATGTGGCAGTTGCCTTACTCTGCGGGCTGAAAAAACAGGTATATATGTTTACCTGCTTCTTCTTTCTTATGCTTTTCAGACCCACTCCACGGTGAACACAGCTCTAACCAATCGATGTTCTCTCCCTAGGAATGCTGTAAAAGTGTACTGGGCACGTCTGACAGAATAACGCATGTGTAAGTGATCTCTTGACCTTGCAACATTCTGACAGAGGAGAAGAGAGGGTGTCTGATCAGGGTGATTCATGGAGAGCAGGCTTCAGTATAAGGTTTTTCTCTCTTGTGGCTGCAAAATGATGCCTTGTTTCTGTCTTTAGTGGACTGGGTCTTAAACTGAGAGGGTCGGAACATGGAGGGTGATGGCGGAAAAAACTCCACTAGCTGAGAGGTGTGCCCAATAATGCAATCTGGTCAGGTTTATAGTTAGTTTATAAAAAAAATTTACATACTTTTCAAAAAAATTCTTGCTTTACTTTGGTTTGTATATTTGTTTAAAAGTGATTGCTTGCTGGTTAAAAAAAATAATTGTGAAATGATGCATGTCCCTTTAAATTTTTAATTTTTTATAATTCTTTATTTTTGACGTGCATGAGATTGCAAAAACAAGCTTGCGATGACACAACAGCATTAGCAGGCACTTCAGAAACAGACATGGTAAAACTGTCGCATGGCATTCAATACAGTTGCACATTTATGTAGAAATAAAAGTAATAAATTATCGTTATCCGTTATGACTAAGATTATGTGAGCATGCTGTCAGCCCATTTGACAGGTTATGTAAGAACCATTCGGTACATCTAGTCTGCCCAATATTTAAGCTACAGTTTACAAAGGATATAGACCAAGCATGTCAAACTCGCAGCCTGCATGCCGCATTCGGCCTGCAACGGACATCTATGCGGTCCCGCGAGCCGCAAATGCATGCTTAGTGTTAAAGCAGAGTAGGCACCTGCTCTCCCCACATCGCAGCTCACACTTCCTGCTCTTCACTGCTCCCTTGCGCGCGCCGTCTGTAGTGATGCCGGGAGGCAGAATATGACGTCATATTCCAGCACCCAGCATCACTAAACTGCGTGCGAGGGAGCAGTGAAGAGCAGGACGGAGATCTACAGATAGAAGAGGGCTCACACCAGCTCCCAAAGGTAAGAAGCATTAAATAAAATTATGTGAGTGCAAGAATGTGTAAATGTGTGTGTGTCAGTCAGTGAGTGTGTGTGTGTCAGTGAGTGTGTGTGTGTTAGTCAGTGTTGCATTGGCAGCCTGGAGGTGGCACGCAATGCCACATCACAATCCGACATGACATCAACATGCTGGTTTTTGGAGGGGCTTGTTTGCCTGCCTCCTACCCTGGGACTATGGGCCCTGTGATAACCCATGTTCAAAAGTACTGTTTCTGCCCCTTGGACTTTTAAATGGAACAGATTAAAACATGTGGTGGCGGCGGCCATCTTAAATTGTCCAGCAGTGTTTTGTTGTCGAGTGTATGGAACTGTTTTGGGCATGGGACCATGTGCACGGTGTGGCAAAAACAAGACTTCCAGGAATTTCCTGAACCCCTGAACCGATCTGGGTGATTTTTGGATATGTTGTTCACCCAGATCGGGGCTATCAGGGGATGTGACTTTGTGGGGATATGTTGTATTGTGGGGTACTTTTTGGGGTTTGTAAAAATGTATGTTTTTTCTGCTTAGAGTTAATTGAGTTAGTCCATTGTCTTCGTTAATTATATCACAGGCAGATGGTAGGGATTGTGTACACTGCATGGGAGTGACTGAATGTAAAACTATGTTTTTATTGGCTTTTTGTTCCTGTGTCCCTGTACCTGGGTGGTAACCTTGTGGGGAAAACTGTATAAAAGACCAAGCTGTTCAATAAAATAAAAAAATAGGGGATATATAATAAAGTCTAGAGCAGCACACCTATGTCTGTGTTATTAGTTATTTTATTGGTACCACCAAGAAGGCAGCATTATGCTCCAGTGTAGGTCTTCTCCAGGAATGCTTAAAAAACAAACAAACAAACAGTTATATCAAATCAAACTTTCTATTGATGCGAATATAAAATAAAAAAGATCAGTGATGAAAATGTACTGCGTTGCTCTTTGGCATTAAAATGTATCATTTCTTTGCAAGGGCAAAACCGTAGTCAAATAGATGACTCCAGGCCAAGATTTATATTCTCCAATAGACATATACAGGTATATTAAAAGGCCACTTACAACCACTACATTCCTTAATAAAAGGACATGCTTACATTTGCTATGATAGTAGTATAGAACTTGGAATTCCTGATGTGATGGGGTGGAGCAATTTGCCTTTTCCCAAAGATGCCCATGGAAGTTAAAGGAACACTGTGGGCACTTAATCAGAATAACATTGTTATGGTAACCATAATGTCCTTTCAAATCAGTCCATAACTTCTGAATTCAACAGATAGAAACATAGAAACATAGAATGTGACGGCACATAAGAATCATTCGCCCATCTAGTCTGCCCAATTTTTTTAAATACTTTCATTAGTCCCTGGCCTTATCTTATAGTTAGGATAGCCTTATGCCTATCCCATGCATGCTTAAACTCCTTTACAGTGTTAACCTCTACCACTTCAGCGGGAAGGCTATTCCATACATCCACTACCCTCTCAGTAAAGTAATACTTCCTGATATTATTTTTAAACCTTTGCCCCTTTAATGTAAGACTATGTCCTCTTGTTGTGGTAGTTTTTCGTCTTTTAAATATACTGTCCTTCTTTACTGTGTTGATTCCCTTTAAATGTTTCTTTCATATCCCCCCGTCTCGTCTTTCCTCCAAACATGTTAACGGTCTCCAGTACTGCGTACAATACTCCAAGTGAGGTCTCACCAATGTTCTGTACAATGGCATGAACACTTCTCTCTTTCTACTGCTAATACCTCTCCCTATACAACCAAGCATTCTGCTAGCATTTAAGTCATCTGAAATAATTACTCCTAAATCCCTTTCCTCAGATGTTGAGGTTAGTAGGGTATCAAATATTCTGTACTCTGCCCTTGGTTTTTTACGTCCAAGATGCATTATCTTGCACTTATCCACATTAAATGTCAGTTGCCACAACTCTGACCATTTTTCTAGTTTACCTAAATCATTTGCCATTTGGCTTATCCCTCCTGGAACATCAACCCTGTTGCAAATTTTAATATCATCAGCACTACAATCATTATAATTGTGGCGGAACCAACCTTGCCACTGTCCACTGGAGAGGCCTGGTTGCTCGCCTGCTCCCTTTAGACTATGGTCCTGCATTTTAAACTTTTATTTTACCTGCAGAAAGGTTTATTCGTGACTTTCTGTGGACTGTTAAAGCCATGCTATCCCAGATAGCTATGCCATGGAGCCCAGCCGTATACTGAAAGACTGTATGAAAGACTTTGGCTCCATGGCGATTGAACTGTATGTATGTGATCTGAGCACCATCCGGTAATAATGTGCGCTCAGATCTAAGCTATCTGGGGATAGGTAGAATGTGTATGTTCTATGTGATAAATGTAACCGTATGTATTTTTATGTCTTTTATTGTCCTTTGTCTGCCATGTGTTCAATGGAGTTTTGCCTCTGTCCTGGAGATAATTGGATTACTTCCCAATTATCTCCAGGATAGAAGACTCTGTGGAACTGGTTTTGAGCATATTTTTGATGCATATTTTTAAAGTTACAATGTATGTATAAAAAGTGTATTTTTCCTGCCTGTGATAAATTACATTAACCCATTGTGTTCAGTAATTATATCACAGGCAGAGGGGAGGGATGTATGTTTGTGCTGGGTGTGTTTTACGGTTCTCCTGTAAACGATTGGTTGTACTGTGTCCCACCCTGTGGGATGTCCCCTTGCATGGGGACTTGCATAAAAGCCAGTGTGTGGCCATTACAGTAGAGTTCCTGCTTAACCCTCAAAGTGAAGTGTCGTCTCATTATTGGGGGGAGGATTTACTGTATGCTGTTAGAGACTGATTGCCAGGAGTGTAAGCCGCTTGGGGGCTTTTCCTGTTCGTCTGCTAGAAGCTATTCGTGTGTCTCCAGTTCGGGAGTTTGGAGTGCTACTTGGTATGCAGTTCGGGAGTTTCGAGTATTCCCTTGGTTGCAGTTCGGGAGTTGGTGAATTCGTGGGTTTGCAGTTCGGGAGATTGGTGCTTGCAGTAGCTGTCTGTGCAGCTGAAAAAGGGGAATATCGCCTAAACGGTTTTTAACCTCTTGTGGGCAAAACGGTCCGTTACAATAATATCTCATCTCAACGATCTCCACCTTGAGATTCTGCTAAATACCTGTATGTATGTATATGGATCCCATGTAAAAAAAAATAATTTGTTATGTTCATGACAATACAAGAACACAGAGCAACTTTATACATATCTATATATGACATAACACATGTGTATGTATAAATCTCTTTTAATAAGTGAACAACATTCATCGTTCCCATGTAAGAAAAGTGCCTTCACAAAATGTATATTTTCAAAATAATATTTTATGTTCCTCATCATATATAACTTAAAAACTTAATTTAAAATATTTAGACATTGAATGACTGCAAAAACTATAAATACATGTGCTGAATGTGTAGACATTACACTTACATTTATATTTAACAGATCCTATTTACAATCTCTTCTACCCAGAGCAAAGGAACACGCAGACCATATTGAACTTGGTTTGGTTCCTCCTACACTTTAGAACATTAGTGTCCACTTCTTTCCCAGAATACACTGCCAGTCAACAGCAGCTGTAAGGCCTAGGTTGACCTCTGGTCCTAAGTAATACTCTATGGCCTGAGCTATATCTGCAGATATATTTTTTTGTGATACTTTAGGGAACTTTAAAAAAAAAAAAAAAAAGTTATTTCTAAAATTATGCTTGAAAGACGTAATCACCTTCATAATGTGTAGCCTTTGCTCACAGCAGGTTCTACCTTCTTGATGTAAAAATCAAATCGTCAACAACATGGCTATAGGAAGCAGCCATTTTGTTTCTCACGCATACCTCATGTGAGGTAGTTTTGTCATAGATCATTGTTTGTACAGTAATTAATACATATGCAAGTGGTATCAAGCATGTCTGCATTTGCCGAGTACTTATTTAATTCTAACTTGGAATGTTGAATATTTCTTTTATGCAAAGAAAACGAAACTTGGAATACTGCAGTTCCATCTAGCTCTTAGAGAAGTAAGGACTCTTCCTATTCCATTTTTGGTTTTCAGCTTGGAATGTTCAGCAGAACAAGCCTACTCTCAGAGGTAGAAAAGGAAGACAATTCTGTTTGGAATGAATGTCAAGAATTCATGTAAACATTGAACATATTTTTTACCTGCAACCCTGAAAAGAACCTTGAATACACACAAGATAAAACTCCATTATCTAACCTTTCACCCTGCTGACCTACCAATAGGTTTTGAGTCATCTTCCACCACAACAAAGTATTTAATTCACATCATTCTAAATATGGCTTAACAATATTATTTTTGGCACACTGAATTACACAGTAGTGGTAAAGGAGATAAGTGTGTTATTTTTGGAAAGAACACTCCTTATTACAGTAGTTTCTGTAATATGCTAGAAAAAAATGAGACTACAGTTATGATTTCATTTTTCTACTTTTTTTAACTAGAAAATTTCAGTGCAGAAATATGTTATTCCTTCTATTTAAGTCAAGTGTATCACTACACACTTAGTGTCATTTCTGGTTCTGGAACTAGCTTGCTTGCGGTCTGACCACCCAGCCGAGGAGTACATCTCCAAGGTAGGATTTTGTTTTTTTAACTCCACAGGAAATCCGAAGACCAAAAAATTCTGCACTACGTTTTGTGAGATTCCATCATGCTTTCTTCAAATAGTGGAGTAAGTGCAAAAAAAGTCCTCGGTGGAGTTTTAAGTGGCCAGCAGTTTTTGGAGTATGTCAGTTATTTTGGGGTTCTGTACCAAGGAACGACGTCTACGTCCATAGCCTAAAGGATCCTTGGTATCTTTGTTGGACCCATCTTTAAAGCTGTTATTTCCCAGGCGGTAGAGCATACTAGCCAAGTTCTGGACTTGGCAGGTGCCCAAGTGGCAACCACGCATGGAAATTGAGGAGATATAACGTTTTTGTCTTTGATGAAGCTGTGAGCTGGAAAAAGAGAGATACATATGGTCAGTATTTACAGTTACTCAAATTTGTTAAATGGTGAACAAAAGGGGAGCTACCCTTTCTTTTCATTGAATTGGTTATAGTGCCTTGCATCCCCTGGCACTGTCCCTTCATTCAATGTTAAACCATTTTTAAAGAGTTTAACATTGAATAACGGTCCTTGGTCATCCACAGCCCAGCCCTACTGGAGGAGTGGCTAAGGCAGATATTACACACTTCCTTGTACCCACACATAAAACTTTCCTTACCTTAGTGGAATGTGAAAGCTATCCATCGAATTATCGGTTTGCTTTTGGGGAGTAAATTCTGTAAGGTCATTGTCTTTGCTCAAATGTTCATCACCAACATCTCTGACAATTCTTGCAGATTCTTGAGTTTTGAAGCTTCTTAATTTATCCAACAAAGACATTACTGGGGGAGGCATTCGTCTGTAAAGGAATAATCCAGTTACTTTTATTGTCAACGAAACCAAAGTGATCTCTTATTCAATAAGAATGTATTAAATCTGTATAGACACTGTGATGGAATCATGGAGAGCCAGGAAAGGAATTCCAACCATATTTTAGCAGAATTTGAAAAATTCTCCAACAATTTTTTGCTTTAAATGTGAAATTCTCTTTGTCATTTCTACACAATGTGTGATTTAGGCCTTGCTTTTATATTAGATACAATTTTCAAAATGATTTCATATTTTTGGATAAACTTTTAAAATGATTTAATATCCTAAAGAATATTTTAACATGTTGATACATTTTTTTATATATAACTTTATCGAAATATATAAAAATAATTCGGAAAGTTTATCCCAGAATATTAAATTGAGGCCTTAGAGAATAAACCCTCTTTTTTTAACTTGACAATTTTGCATCTTTACCTGTCTTTGTGTTCCATCCCATGAGAACTGCACCAATTCACGCTCAACACGAAAATGATGAACATCATACTGCCACAGAGAACCATGATTGTCTAACCTATTGGACAGAAAAGAAAATACATTGTAGTTTAACAAATGAATTTGCATAGTTACAATGCATTAATTTGTTTATTTAGCTAAAACGCAGCGTACAGTTTTAGATACATGAAGTTATGGGTAACACAAGACTCAATGACTGCAGCAAATCTTCATAGCTAATATCATATCTTTATAGCTCATGAGAACTTGGTGACCATGCTTACAAAAATGCTCTAAAGCAAGATGAACTGATTCACTAAACTCTGAATTTAACTGAATTGAAATCTAATCAAATATAAAGGCTTAAATAGCCACACTGTAACTATCGTCAAATTGGAAAATCTCTTCAAATTAGATATATTTGCCTAAATTTTGCAATTAAATCCACCAAAATAGTGAGTCTAGTGAATAAATCCCAATGTGAGAATTCAAAACGGGAGCTTGCTCAAATAAAATAGTTAAATCCATGTGGAATGTTAATACGATGATTTGAAATGTGGTTTGAACCAATAAATACAATCTATATCCCTCCCAATGCTGTCGTACTACAATTCTCATTAATTCTCTGTCAGCTATAGCCCTGTATATCATTATCTGATTTTTTTGATAAACATATGTTGCATAATTTTAATTGCTTTAAAGAAATAGGCATTTGTAGATGCAAATGAGAGGGAGGGACAGAGAGATAGAGGGAGAGAGAAACAGAGACGGTATGATAGTGAGTTTAAGATGAATGGGGTATCTTCAATCAAGAGTAGTAAGTGCAGGATACAGGATTTAATTTGAGGGATGGTGAGCCTTAGGTTATAAGAAGAATAAAGGATCCGAGTTAGTATTTAGTAATTAGTACAGATATCTAAGAGAGAGCAGGTTGTGTGGAACTTTGTAAAATATGTATTTTTAATGTTTTCTCTAAGTGTGGCATTATAGAATGCTGCATCATCTAATATGAGCACAAGCCCAGATTAAGTGACTAACACACTGAACACTCCCTAATTACTGCTTTACACCTTCATTTAGTGTCTAAGGAATCCAGATGCTATTTTGCACCTGGGACCAACCCATAAAATGTATTTTTTTTAACCACATTCTTCACATTTAATTTACTTAACGCTGCTTTTCACTTTTTTGACTTTCTGTGCACACTTTTGTAATATGATAATAAAAATGTCATATTTGACTTGAATACTAAATTCTGTTTCTTTTTCCTTTTAACTATGTTTTCATTGAGTGTTTCATTGAAATCTACAGTTGGCTTTAATCACTGTACTTTCTTAGTACTTAAAGAAAATTATTTTGAATTTGAACACGTACACAAAAATAAAGTATTATTATAGGTTTTACAGTGCATTCTCTATAATGCCCAATTGAACATATTACACCTGGTAGGCGCCCTGTCTCAAAAGGACAATAGTAACCCTTGAACTATTACCAAGGTAATACATTTTCAGGCTTATTCAATGTGAATTTAAAGTTAATTTCAGGCTTAAGCCCAATTGGAAGCATAGCTGACTTGGATACATTTTTAAATTCAACTATTTTGACATCAGATTTGAAATTCACTTTAACGTCTCACTTTAGTAGATAAACCCTTTAAGCTTTTAACTGATTTATCTAGCTTATATGTGTTTTATCATATATGGTCCAAGCATATCTAGAGATGCTCTAATCCCCATAATGCCTTGGCTGAAGCCGATGGCAATTCTAGGTCAGCAATTTCGTGAGAGGCAGGACATGTGACCCTTGGTTTGCATCTAAGGACAGACCATCTCTGTTACATGTATAATTAGAAACTTGCCCCAACAAAATGCTAGCCTTATAAAGGGTTTGTAATATTAATTATTATTATTATAATCAATTTTTTAAAAATCGAATATTTGGGACATAAAGGGTATATATAATGCAGATTTCTTTGTTTATATTGCCACAAACTGCGATGAATGGTTGACGTTTCACCCAAGTGGCTGACCCTAAATGTAGTGTTTTATTGCATGATTTTTTTTTTTATGTTAAAAGGGTAAACGGTCACTATACATTATGGTTTATTCCTATTTATCCAAGAATTCTTTACACTTTTAGACAAGATAATTGAACTAGAGAAATATCTCTACATATTCTTCCAGGTTGAAAATTCTATCGTAGAATTTGAAATTTCATGGTCAGTAAAAGGCACTCCCATTGTATGTATCCCAAGATAAGACTCATTCAGTAAATTCTCAAGATCTAACAAGGAATTAGTTTGTTTAGACCAAAATAGCTGAATTAAAAAATTCACTAACTCAGTGTGTTAATTTTGGGCTATAATTTGTGATATTCGCGTTAATTCTCCACAATCCCCAGTTTAGGGTATAAATATCAGTAATCATGATACTATGATTACTGCATGGATTCAACTTTGATATACGCTAAAGGTAGTTCTAATATATGGTATTAAGATTGTATTATCCTAGTCAATCACATAATCTACAGTATATGTATTGCAAAGAATATGTTCATAATATGCTAACAATGAAAGCAGTTAAGGTTTCCCTCCCAATAGGTGCCTACTTTTGCATGACTGGAGATTAGCTTCACTTCTACAGAGCAATCATACAGCAACCCTCCAGTTATATTGCATCAGAAAATACATTTGATCACCACATGTGCATGTGTCTACATGCTATAAAGACGTTTGCAATTAACTGTGTTTGGGGGGTGGATTGGTCTTCAACACTTCTGTAAATTCATGACCCCAAACATTTATAAACAAAGATTTTAACATTTTATTTCAAACATGAAAAGAAATATCACAAAATCCAATAAAAGGTATAAAGCCATTCCAGCAGAAAGTCAATAAAGTTAATACAAATGTACTAAGCCTTAAAATATTATGTTGGGAATTTCTTTTTTTTTTTTTTAATCGCCAGATTTGACTTCTCTATTGTCAATAAAATAATTTTTGGTACATTATATAAATTATAATTTCACTTTTATTCTTCATCTTTATTCTTTTTATATATGACTTAATTTTTTAGATAATCGCAACACAAATGAATACAGGTAATGCAACAAGTTATATAAAAATTAGGCAGGGAAGAGAGCATATATATACTAATTTTGTAATTAGTATATATTAGAATGTGCCTCTTACCTCTATTTGGGAGGACGTGAAAGTATGTCCTTAGAAGATCTCTATGAGTTTTTCTTGACACTGTGAGTAGATCTCACACAATCACACGAGCGATGATACTGGCAGTGTCCGTCTTTGACTGTCTTTGCCTGCAGCTGTGTTGTAGGCTCTTTTATATCTTGCTGGACCTGTTAAGACAGAAAGAGGGGGGTCACATTGTGGGTGATGATGTCAGACTCTTGCACTCAAAGAAGCATATAAACAGTACACTGAAATGAGTCAGACATAAATTTGCATCACTTTCTGGACAAACCAATCTACACGTAGGATTATGATTTTTTTTTGTTTTTTTTTTGTTAGGATGATCTTTTAAGGGGACTGTACAAAAAAAACGTATTAAAAACTGGAATGGAAAATTTAGGCAAAAAATAGCCAAGCTGTGGCTATAGCGGAGATAGAGAATTTGTCCAAATCAGTACTTTTTGACTAAATGTAACAATTTTGCTATTCGGTTTTCAGTTTACTAGAATTCAATGTTTTGTAAAAAAAATAAATCTTGAAATATATTATAAACAACATGCTATATTTTATTGACCTACATGAGAATGACTATTGATGTCACCAAAACCACCACAGCTTAATGTAGTGGTTCTGGGGCATAGCGACTGTCTCTACTGCCTCAGCAGTGTAAGTGATGCTTCCTTTGCTATTAAAAGGCAGCGTTTACACTTCTGCCTAATGCCACCTCTAGTGGGGCAACTGCGACAAGACAGACGTGCCTGGGATAAAGGTAAGTAAATAGCTTTTTAAAAAAAAAAAATAATTTAATTTGGGTTGGGTAGTCCTATTATGTTTGTATTCCTAATTCTTTAGTTTTTGTTTAATAAACTTTTATATCATTATGTTACACCTATCAAACACTGTTCTAGAGTACTGGCTTAGGAACATCTCACTGGATGTGGTGAATGGACTTCATCTACAGTCTTTGTGATTCAGAAATGCATTGCTATAATAAGGATACTTACATGATCTTGGTACCCCCAGAATGTTCGGAGATTTTCTAAATCTGTTGATTATGATTATTATTTTATTATTTATATAGCAACAACAGATTCCTTAGTGCTGTACAATGGGTGGACTAACAGACATGTAATTGTAACCAGACAACTGGACGTACAGGAATAGAAAGGTGGAGGGCCCTTCTCAATGAGCTTACATTTTAGAGTATCACGCGCTAGTAAGCTGACTTCAATTTTCATTTGAGTTAATTGCAGGCTTCATTCGATGATGACTCAATATTTTATATACTGGTAAGAATATAATAATATTTTATATACTGGTAAGTTGGGGTTTTTCCAGCAACACGAATTGCAACCATTTGGTTACCGAGATCGCACAGAACATTTATTTTAGTTTATCACAGGATCAGTTCTCTTTAATGGCTAATTTAGAACAATCTCAGGATACCAACAAGGTTTCCATCGTGTTATAATAGTCCATATTGTAAATATCTATTGTGGATCTACAAACAGCTCTAAAAAAAAGTATAGTCTACCAATGAAGCAAATTGAAAAACTGCAAATAAAGTTCTAAAGAACTTGGGTGTATCTCCTAGTTAAATTTTACCTGCCTGTTTTTTCTTCAAATTTTTTAGATTGCGAAATGTATGCAAAAATTCTCAAGCTATAGCATAATAGATGAGTTGGAGTTTTTACTTATATTTTGAAATTTGGGTAACACATTTTTAAAATTTAAAGTTTTGCGAATAAAGCTGTTTTATATATTTTTGTGCTATGCAACATCAAACTATTTGTTTGTCATTTCACTTTGCTGTACTTTAAAGGACCACTGTAGGCACCCAGACCACTTAAGCTCAATGAAGTGGTCTGGGTGCCAGGTCCAGCTAGGATTAACCCTTTCTTCTATAAACATAGCAGTTTCAGAGAAACTGCTATGTTCATAAATGGGTTAATCCAGCCTCTAGTGGCTGTCTCATTGACAGCCGCTAGAGGCGCTTCCACGCTTCTCCCTGTGAACATCACAGTGAGAAGACGCTGCAGTCCATAGGAAAGCATTGAGAAATGCTTTCCTACGGACTGATTGAATGCGCATGCGGCTCTTGCCACGCATGTGCATTCGGCGGATAACTTCGGAAGAGGGAGGAGAGTCCCCAGCGCCGAGGGAGTCCAGCGCTGGAGAAGGGTTAGTGTTTAACTCCTTAACTCCTCTTGAGCCCGGCGGGAGGGGGACCCTGAGGGTGGGGGGGGACCTATTAACACTATAGTGCCATGAGGAGAAAGGTTAGTGTTTAACTCGTTAACCCCTCTTGAGCCCAGCGGGAGGGGGACCTATTAACACTATAGTGCCTATAGTGTTTTCCTGGCACAATAGTGGTCCTTTAAAATAAATGATGGTTACGGTGACATTAGTTATGTGTTTGTACGTTTTTTTAATTGTCTGCATCTTTATTGTATAGATTTACTGTATTCATTTAGTCTGCATTGAGGATGTACAGTAATACTAGTTTGCATCCCTAATTACAAACATTTTTTCCCCATCATATCAGTATGAGCTCACCTTCTAATATTGCTTTTATATTTTTGTATATGTCATTGTATCCTTCTCTGTGAAAAGTTTACATTTACTAAGGATGTGTTTCCTGTAAGAAAATTGAGAGTTGTGTAATTCTGTGGTCTATTCAATAAACAAAAATCCGTTAAAGCAAACTCAGTCACTTTCATTCAATTCAATTCTCTTTAGTATAACTGATAATATACTTCTGTGCTTTATATTCACTATCAACCAGACTGAAATGGCACTAAGCCATATATGGGTACCTGCATTTGTTCATGGCTCTCATTGAATTAGTGAAATTTGTTTGAATATACAAATCAAATTGCAACGGGACAACAGCCAAATTTCCATGCAATGAGAATAAAATACGCCACTAGTAGAGTTTGGGAATATGGACAATTTGAATTGGCGTACTGCTAGATGGTGGGGTGTTGGGCTGAATGTTATTGTTAGTGATGTTTATGTTTTTGTTGTGTAATTCCATTTGTCTGGATTAGAGTAAATAGATTAAATGAGTGAAGTGAATTAAGCTTTGCGGACAGCAGGGGCGTACCTGGAGCATTTGACACACAAACAGATACATATACACACACTGACACATACAGATACACATATACAGACACACATACAGATACACATACATACAGATGTATAAGTAAGTCTCTGTGTGTGTATAGTGAATGCAGTGTGCAGTGTGTGTCTATGTGTGTGTTTGTATAGTGAATGCAGTGTGTTTGTATAGTGGATGCACTGTGTGTATCTAGTGTATTCAGTGTGTGTGCTTGCATATTGGATACAGTGTGTGTGTGCATGTGTATGCAGTGTGTGTTTGTGTGATGTATGCAGTGTGTGTTTGTGTAGTGTATGCAGTGTGTGTGTGTATATAGTCTATGTAGTGTATGTATAGTAAATGCAGTGTGTGTATTTGTGTATGCAGTGTGTGTGAATAGTGTATGTAGCATGTGTGTATTGTGTATGCAGTGTGTGTATAAAGTGTATGCAGCGTGTGTTTGTGTATATAGTGTATGCAGTGTGTGTGTGTTGTCTGGGATAAGTGCTGGAACGGGGAGCAGTGTGTATTGTTTAGGGCCCCACCTTCCCTGACTCTTACCTGGGCCCATCTCTCCCCCCCCCCCCGACTCTTACCTGTGTCCAGGGAGGGGACACACACTACATTCCCTGGTGGTCCGGTGGCACGGCACAGCAGATGTCCAGTGAAGAGGAGCCCAGGAGTCTCAACCTTTGATCCACCTCCAGCAAGAGCAGGTCCTCTGTTCTCGTGTTCCGCTCTCACGGATCACGAGAACAGAGGACCTGCTGCTGGATGTGAAACGAGCGTGGAGACTCCTGTAATCAGTCCAGTCCCTTTACATAAGACACAGGAGCGACAAAATGTCTCCGCTGTCAAAGTGCGCCTGGGCACCCCCTTAGTGAGTGGCACCCGTGGCGGATCACCCCCTCCGCCACTCCCCTTCACCCCCTTAGTACCCCACTGGCGGACAGCAAAATTAGCAATCTTTATTAGCAATCTCTATTGCCTGTGTATAAAAGGTAACAAAATGGCAGCGAAATAAAATGCAAATATGATTTTGTATTTAATGAATAGTCTAATGGGTTAGACATAGAAAGCTTTCCGCTTAAACAGACAAATCTGGACAACCATACACTAACAGCACCCCATTTGGTACTTAGTGTATTGACATTTTAGTAATATTAAAGATGGCATGAGTACTGTAACGGATCACCTGGCACCCCGACTGGGTACCTCTGTTGAAGGATGCTCTTAGCGCTTCCTGAGGACTCCAAGCACTGCAGCAGACACCGCAACCACCGAACCGGAGAAGCATTCGAATGCTCTCAAGCATAGGAATGCTGTAAACAGCTGAACAGGAAAAGCATACAATCAGCTTACACTCCTGGCAATCAGCATACAATCCAATTCCCCCAATAACGAGACGACACTTTGTTTTGAGGTCAAGCAGAACTGACTGTACTGGCACATACACCCTCTTTTATTCACAATCCACAAACAGAGTACTGCCCACAGGGTTTTGAAATACAACCAATCAATCCGTACAATACACACAGACACTCCCACACAAAAATCCTCCCCTCTGCCTGTGATATGATTACTGAACACAATGGTTAATATAATTATCACAGGCAGAGAAATACAGTATTATAAAACATATCACAGGGACCCAAAACATGCAATAACCCCATAAAAAAAGTATATCCTCGGAACCGGGGGATCTGGCTGAACCACATATGCAAAATTCACCCAGATCCGTTCAGTAGTTTGGAAGATACAGTTTAATGCAGATTCCGCAGAACATATACAGGCTATATGAAAAATAATTACTGTCAGAGGCGGCTCTCTAATTAGGCGGTTTAGACATCGCGCTAGCTGGGGCCTTGCGGCCGCCTAAACCGCCTGTGGGCAGACTGTGACCGAGGACCTGACACCAGGAGGGGGCCCGGTGGCTTGCCCGGTGTGCCGCCGGATGCGAGGCCCCTCCTAGCTGCCCGGCCAGCCACCACAGACACCGGTCTGCAGCTCCACAGTGAGCAGAGCTGCAGACCATGTGTCTTGCAAAAACCGGCCAATC